GACGACTTTTACTCGGCCTATATTAATAATATATTAATTTTCTCTAAAAATAAAAAAAAGTATTAATAGTATATTAGAATAGTTCTATAGAAGCTTTAGAATACCGGATTATAAGTTAATATTTATAAATACGAATTTAAAGTTTCTAAGATAATATTTTTAGGATTTATTATTTCGAATTAAGGTATATAAGTAAACTTTACTAAAACCTCTATTATTTGAAACTAGTACTAACCTATAATAAAAAGGGAAATATAGTTATTTTTAGGCTTCTATAACTTCTATTATAGGTTTATCTAAGCCTATAAATATATTTCCTGCTCTCTAAATTATCTAACTAAAAAGAATACTTTACTAAAGTTTATACTTAATAAAACCTAGCTAGATATTTTTAATTAACTTAAAGATCTGCTTTTCTCTATTCCTATATTTCTCTATTTTAAATATAATAGGGAAACTTGTCTAGAAACTAACTATTTAAACCTAGTTACTATAAGTATATTTTTTTAAAAAAGCTTAGAGAATAAATAATAGTACCCGGTCTCGTTTTATTTTAAAGCTCTTTAAGAAACTAAAAGCTATTATAAAGTTTATAATAAGGAACTTCTTGCTATTATCTAAGAGCTTCGGAAATAGTAGATAGAACTAATTAGCTTACCTAATTTTCTAATTATTACTAATTATAAAGCTCTCAAGTATTTTAGTACTAAGAGGCTCTTAAATAAATAATAAATCTAATAAATAGGTTTCCTATTAGAATTCTATTACTAGATTACTTATTAGCTAGATAAAGATAATATTATTACTAATATTTTATTCCGAAAAGACAAGCTTATACTAATCTAGAAATAGGCTAAAGAAGCTAAAAGAACTTAATAAGTTATCCTATTAGATCTAATTCTCGCTTTTACTAAAGTAATAGATATAGCTTATATTTCTACTAAAATAAAAGAAATAAATAAGCTATTTATTATAATTAAAGTTCTATAAACTAATTAGATATATTTAGCCCTAAAAAATAAATATAGGAAAGCCCGGAAGAATACGGATTTATAGGAAATATTAAATAGCTATATACTTTATAATAAAAGGCTTATTATATTAGATAAATATAATAATCTATAAACTAGGCTCCTGTAATAAATTCATAATATAATAACTATTATATATCCCGGTTAAAATAAGACAAAAATTCTAATTCGGAAACTTTACTAGTAGCTTATTCTCTCTATAGATATTAATTACTTTATAATAAATTACTATAAATATTAAAGATCTTATAAGCTAAGAAATAAAATACTAGGCCTATTATATTTATTACTAGTTTTCTTAAGAATATAAGACAATTTATTTATAGACTTCTATATTTCTGGTTCTATAAGTAAAGAATATAATAATATATTTATTATAGTTAATTAATTATTTAAATAATATATAAGCCTATTAATAACTAAAAATACTATAGCTAGAACTACTACTAGCCTGTTTTACTACTATATCTAGTAATTCCGAGATTCTTTTCTTATTATTATAAGTAACTAAAGACCCTAGTTTATTTTAAATTTTATAAATAAACTATTAAGATTAATTAGAACTAAGCTAAAGCTCTTAATTATAGAATATACCCAAACTAATAAATAAACAGAAATTATTAACTAGATTATTAATATCTAACTTTGCTTCTTTATTAATTACTTCTAGAATAATTAGGCAGATTTACTTCTAGTACTTAATACTATAGGTACCGCCTGCCTATATAAATTAACTGGCTTATTTCCCTTAATAATTAACTATAAATATAAACCCAGGCTAAACTTTAACTAGATACTACTAATAATAGAATTCAAAATACTAAAAAAGAAACTTAATTAGAAAGAAGTATAATAATAGGCTAAGAGAATTAATACTACTATTAATTATACCCGAGAATATATAGTAATAGCTTAGGAGTATTAAGCTAAGTAAGCTAATAAGAAATAGCAAGAACTAGACTTTAGTCTAGAAAATATAATTTATATAATTAAAAAGATATAGAAAACGAACTATTTATCTAATAAATTAGATTATTTCCTTACTAGACTATTTAAGATTAATAAAATAGTCGGTTATTTATATTAATTAGATCTTCTTCTATTATATAGGATTTAGCTAATTTTTTATATAAATAGACTTTATAAGAATTCTATTAATTTACTATCTAGCTAGATTAATAAAGAGCCTAATTTACTAAAGTTAATAGTAAACTCAAATAGAAAGTCGAAAAGATTCTTTCTTTTAAGGTATTTTATAGTAAGCTTTATTATAAAGTTAAATAGAAAAAATAAAATATAAATAATAAATAGTATTTTATATTAAACTTTAAGAACTTAGTATTTAAATTATATAAATTTCAAGAGTAGAACTCTAGTAAAGCAAAATCTCTTATCTAGCTAAATAAATGAATTTAATATACTAAAAAGAATAAGTTTAATAAAAACTATTCAGATAATAATAAACCTTAATAATAAGGCCTTTATAACTAGAGAAAAAGAAGAAAAACCTAGACATTTTCCGGGTTTTATCTAAATCCTAGTATATTTCCTTTATTTTATTATATTAGTACTTATTTTCTTTTCTAGAAATCTGGGTAAAATACTTTCCTTTATTATACTAGATTATATTTTACTATCTAGGCAAATTATAAAAAAAAAAGTAAATTCTTAAAGCTAAGCTAAAGATAAATACTTATCTATATTAGTTCGAAATATTATTAAAAATCGAGGGAAACCTTTCTAATTATTTTAATCTTTATAATCTTAACTATTTATATTACTATTACTGCCTTAATAGAACTATTAATAAAAACAAAATAAATAAGAAATCCCGGTAATATATTATTTATAGCCGGACTAAATAAGGCTATTTACTAGATCCTAAATAACTTAAATAATAGTAATAATATCTTAAGTTTAGTAGCTATTATTATTATTAATATAACTACTAGCTAAACTACTTTTATAGACGAAAATAGTAATTCTCTTACCCAAAAATAGATTAATATATAAAATATAGCCTATATTACTCTTAAGAATATATCTGAAATTACTATAAAAAATATCTTAGTAAAATATTCTAAGAATAATAAAATAGAGGTTTTAGTTACTAGTAATAATAAGTCTAATAATCTAATAGGCGAAATAGATAATATTAATAAGAACTTCCTTATTAATCTTATAAAGCCAAATACTAAAAAGATTAAAAAGAATAAGGCTAGCTTATTTAAGAAATATAAGGTATTAGATAATAGTAAGAATTCTAATAATAAAAAGATTAAGAACGGAAAGACTTCTAATAATAAAGGAAACTTTAACTATAATAAAGATAACTAAACTAGTATTAAAATACCTATTATAACTAGAAGACATATAATACTAAGTAGTAGTTATTATATAAAGTACTAGTCTAAAACCAAGAGCTAGTAAATAATCCTAAAGACTAAATTAAAGAAGTAATATCCTATAAATATTAATAAATTAGTATATAATACCGTTTAGGAAGTCGGAAAACCTCTTAAAAGCTCTTATAAGACTAAAACCATATAGCTCAAGGCCCAGGAATTTAATAATAAAGTAGTTCAAATAGCCGCCCTTAATATATAAGTCTCTATTATAGAGAGATAACTTAAGAATATATATATTAAGCTTAAGAAGACCCAGAAGTTAATTAAGTAGCTTAGAAATAGTATAATTAAGCCAAATATTACTACCCTAACTAAGAAAAAAGGCAAGCAAGCTATTATATTAAAGCCTATATTAATAGATAGACTTAATCTACTACTCCTATTCAAAGACTGCCTGATAATAATAGTCCTAATATTAGCTATAGCCTATATAATACTTCCAGACTATATTATTAATATGGGTATAGGCATAATACGAGTAATAGATACTAAGGACTAGCCGGAATATACTAGGAACTGGGTTATTCTGGCGAAGTCAAGACTATACTTTAATTATAAGTAAGCTATAGGAATTAGACAGAATGGGGTTAATGGCTATTATTTCCTCTTTTTTTTCTTTTCTGTACTATGGCTAAATAATTCCCTAAATGAGGGTATTTAGACTTCTCTTTGGGGGGGGGGGGGGGTAAATGTAACGGCTGGCGTAAGGGCATAATCTGCCAAGGACAGGATATCGGAAATAGGTATAAAACGAAGCTAAGCCAGAATTGCTTGGACGGAATAATACTAAAGGTCAAGGCATCCTCCCTACTTTGTTCTATAGCTTAGTATTTTCTAATACATGAGATTCTTTGAACTTTGAGCCTTCGACCATTGCATTGATCCCGCCGTCACACCCGGGCAGGGGAGGGGTAGGGGGTGTGACGGTACTAGCTGGGGTCACGTGGGGTTAGCTATTACTTAGCTGGTTTTACCTGTCAAGCTAGCTTTTCTTCTTCTTTCTCCCTCTCTCTCTCCTTCTTCTCTTTAGCTTAGTATTTTTAATACACGAGATTCTTGGATCTTTGAGCCCTGGCCATTGCCTCGATCCTGCCGTCACAGGGGAGTCGTTTTAGTTTTTCACGACGATCTAGGGGAATGTCGGGTAGGTTCGCTTAAGCTTTTCGGGTAACAGTTCCAGGATTGATAGTGGTGGAGATACCCGACACTTCCCTAGCTCTGTACCCTCTTAGTCCCTTTACGAGTAATTGTTGGCTGCCGGCAACTGCTCGGCAACTGCTCTTTGATCCGCATTGACGATGTTCTATGCGGTCATTTCTCCGAAATGAAATGGTTTGCTACTGTGGAGTGTGGCCATTCTTCCATGGAGTAGTCAATGAAGGGGAGCTAGTCCCCCGCAGTTTGTGAGCCGCGTGCTTTCAGGGGATTCACCAGGCGGCACGGAAATGATAATTTTTGACCTAGTAATCTTAGCCTATTTCTGATATAAAGAGCTCGAAATCTTCCACGTTTGCGCTTTGCACGTTGCGGGTGAGATACTCTCAGCAGCTCTCTTTTCGAAATGGATGCAAGAATCTTTTTGCGAGCAGCAGCAGCGGCATCACTGCTCCTTCTTTGTTTTGTCGAATATGCCTCGGCCAAGACTTTTGCTTCCACACTACTGTGGTACAAGACACCAGCCGGTATCTTCAATGAAGGATTGCCTATCGGAAACGGACGGCTGGGTGCCAACGTCTATGGATCGATTTCCAAGGAGCAAATTGCGCTCAACGAGGACTCTTTCTGGAGCGGAGGTTTCCGAGACCGCGTTAGCTCAACTGCACTCCCGGCATTTCCTACCGTCGTAAAGACGCTCGAGGGAGGAGACCTTAAGGCCGCTGATAATTTATGGAATTCTAACATGACAGGTAATCCGACTTGGGAGCAATGCTTTCAACCGGCAAGCACCATGTTCGTCGACTTTGGCCATAACGCTTCTCTGGCCCAAAACTACAACCGATCCCTTGACCTTCTTACCAGCGTAAATACCGTAACCTACAGCATTGGGAGCGTACAATATACACGACAAGCAATTGCAAACAACCCCATGGACGCTCTGGGATTCAGGTATCAAGCGAACTCCACAGGCAGCTTGAATTTTACTCTTTCTTTTACTCGTGGTCAGGCGCTAAGGTCCGTCAATGCAAATGCTTCCACTCGCACGATCACGCTAAGAGGAGGCGGGACGTTGGACAAAACTTTGGAATTCACTGCTAAGCTAAAGCTTGTGACGCAGACAGGTGAGTTAGAGGCAATCTTACCGACTACCAAATATGAAAATAAAGAATAAAGCATATCTAACACAACCATAGGAACCGTAACTGCAAGCTCGGATGGCACCTCGCTCGTCGTGAATGGGGCTACAGATGTCCAGGTATACTTCGATGGAGAGGGAGCTTTCAGATATTCTTCGCCAGCCACTTGGGAAGCTGTCATTGACAACAAGCTCAACGCAGCCGTAACTGCTGGATGGAACTCCTTCTACCAACAAGCCATCACCGACTACAGCGCCTTGGCAAGCCGTGTAGTGCTTGACTTGGGCAATTCTGGGAGCAATGGAGAAGTTGAAACGCGTGCACGCGTGGCCAATTGGAAGAAGAATAACCACCTCTCAACAGATCCCGAACTCCTTACTCTCTTGTACAACTATGGCAGATTCGCACTGATATCTTCGTCGAGACCTGGAAGTTTGCCCGCTAATCTCCAGGGTGTTTGGAACGATCAATTCTATCCTTCTTGGAGCTCTAAGTACACGCTCAACATCAACCTCGAGATGAACTACTGGCCAGCAGAAGTAACAAACCTTCCCGAGACTCATCTACCACTGTTCGATTTCATGAAGAGCATGCAGACGCGTGGTCAGGGTGTTGCGAAATCCATGTATGGAGCAAACGGCTGGGTATGCCATCACAATGCTGATATCTGGGGAGACTGTGCACCAGTTGACTCTAATACATACTGGTCTGCGAACACCATGGGAGGAGCTTGGGTCAGTCTCCATCTGATTGAGCATTACCGATTCTCTGGAAACAATACTTTCGCCACCAACATTGCACTACCAATTTTGAGCGACTCGCTGTCATTCTTCTACGACTTCCTCATTCTCAACGACCGCGGCTATTATGTCACGAGCTACGGAGCATCCCCAGAGAATGCATACCTCGTGCCGAATGGATACCCCAGCAACGGCTCAGTGGTTGGGATCGATCAAGGCACTGCCCATGATCGCCAGGTCCTGTACGAACTCTTTAAAGGCTTCATCGAACTCTCTCAGGCGACAGGTAGCACGGCCGGAGTGGCAAAAGCCCAACAATATCTCTCCAAGATCGAACCTCCAAACATCGGCACAACAGGTTACATCCTTGAGTGGTCGAAAGAGTTCACGGAAAATGAGCCAGGGCATCGCCACCTTTCGCATCTCCTCGCCGTGTACCCCGGAGCACAAATCAGTCCCCTCCTGAACCAGACACTTGCTAACGCTGCGCTCGGTTCCCTCAACCACCGCTTAAGCTCTGGCGGCGGTAACATGGGATGGTCGCGAGTCTGGGCGGTCGCTATTTACGCCCGTTTATTCCAAGGCGATCTTGCTGCCAGTTCCATCACCAATCTCCTTACAAACTACATCTCGTCTAACCTGTTCGACCTCAACGGTGGAGTGTTCCAGATTGACGGCAATCTCGGCATTGTAGGCGCCGTTTGTGAGATGCTACTTCAAAGCCACGCAGGTGTTGTCCATCTTGCGCCGTCGCTTCCGACTACAACGCTTCCGACCGGAAGCGTCACGGGGTTGGTAGCACGAGGCGGCTTCGCCGTCGACGTGGCATGGAGTAACAATGCGTTCTCTAGTGCCACGATCAAGTCCAGTCGAGGGGGGACTTTAGCCTTGGGGGTTGCAGGTGGCATCAGCTTCAAAGTCAACGGCGCGGCATACACTACGCCCTTTAATACAGTAGCCGGACAGACTTATCAGATCACTCTCTAAGTACGCTGTATCTCTATCGTCATCTCTAGAAGTTGTGTGTATTTAAGTCTGAGTAATAAAGTTGATTCTGAGTGTAAATTTTCCAATATATTGGCAAGACCCGTGATAATGCGCTCCAAGTTGCTGCAGTTGGAGGACATGAAGATGTCGTCCAGATTCTGTTTTAAAAAGATTCGAGAGTTCGACGCAATCCTCTGAGGTAGAAGCACGATATTGATCACGTGATTCACTCCCTCAGAACTCCACCTCGTTGTCGACCCCACATTTGGACTGACGTTGAATCAGGCTCCCGCGAAAAGAAAAAAAAAGAAAAGAATATAATGGAATAACCTGCATGCTGCGTATTGAACGGCGCTAGATAGAAAGAGGCCATAAAACGTGCGGTACCTACATTCCCCTTGCTTGTTCTTTGAGAAACTGATTCACATCCTTTTCGAGAACCTCACGGACGGATTCGTCATCGATGTGCACGTGAAGTAGCTTCTTGTGAACTTCAATGTCGATGTAAGCCTGCATATCCGGTGCGGTCAGTTCCCCATTGACCCCGATCCTGGCCCAAGAACTCAGAGCTGACTCAATATAGTAATCTTGTATGCTTGAAAGGGAAACCTTCACAAGGCCGAAACCTCCATTTATAGGGGTTTCAAGCACTTCTACCACTTCAGAAAAGCTTGAGCTGTCGATCTCGTCTGGCGCGTCGATGATGATTGTAGTCTGAGCGCCGCTGCTGTTAAGCTTGATCATCTCAGAGAGTAGAGATCCAATGTGTTGGTTAGTGAGTTCATGTTTATCGTACTTCTCCGTCCACTTCTTCAAGATCTCTAAACCGTCAGTAGTGGATGCCAATTGCCGTAGGAAACTCCCGAGAATGCGGTTTGACTTCGTACTTGTGTTCGTGCCAGAACAGTAGTAGTACGCGAATGCTCCTGGTTTCGTTTTGCCATAAAGATGAGTAATGTGAACAATCACAGTAGAAGTTAGTACAGTTTTACCTGTTCAAGCGCTCCTTTCAGCCAAATGCCACAGGAAACTTTGGAATTCCGCCATTCCTTGAACTTGTCCAGTTTCCTCAACCATTCTCCCGGGTTTTGAAGATGCGAGATCTTGTTCTGGATGTCAATATGATTTTGGTCTCCACTTTCGTTGCCGGGGAGCCAGCCAAGGGTCATGGAATTATCTTCACTGTAAGAGTAGCAATCACCATCTGAAATTTCTTAAGGATTAGCTAGTCTCTTACCTCAGTATGCGAAGCAAACGTTTTGTGAGGTGATAGACAGGATTTATACCGCTATCAATCTTCTGCAAAATCTGGGCCAAGCTTTCCTGGTCACATTTGCCTTCGACAGTTTTCAGCTGGTAAGGAATGGTTAATATATATGTGTGAGTTTCGAAGTATGTATATGAATTAAATGATCCTACCGAATATTGAGCCCTTTCATCTGCAGAATCGATGGTCTTCTTTATGTCCGAAATGGTGCGTCCATCAAGACTCAGGACTGCTCGTCCAGCACGCTCTGAGTCGCCCAGAATTACTCAATAAAGTAGGCGTCACCCAAAGCAGAACGTACCTTCTGCGCATTGTTTCAGATAGTCGTTTATTTCAATCGAATAGAACAGGATCGCCTCATAAACGTCCGTAATGAGATCCTCAAACTCTTCATCTGTCGGCGGCCCTGTGTACAAGATTTCGTACCGTGCGTATCTTGTCATAATATGTGTGATGGCTTGGGAACTCACTATAATGAATTTACGGGCGTCTTTGGCATTTGCGGCAACTTCTAGGCCGAAAGATACGACTGACCATCCCAGGGCTGCATAGCCTGAAAATGTCAAACTTCACCACAGCATCGCCGAGAGACTTGGATTTCAACGCTCCACTGACAATATTATTGATAACCTAGAACCAGCAGTTAACGAAAGCTGGGGTGAATTGAAAGAGAAACCTGCCGGTGTCCACTTCGTGTCTTCTTCCTTCAACCTGTTGGCCCTCGAAACAATACTGCTCACATCTTCGGCGGTTAGACTGTCACCAGTAACAGATAGCTTGGAGCCCGACTTTGCTGGTATGGCATCTAACCCCTATCGATCCTTGGGGTCTAGCTTATCTGCTGCTTTTTTCCAAAGTATTCCTACGACAATCGCTGGCTTCTTTTTGTCCTGCCCCTGGGGTATAGGGGGCTGCTCATTAGCGGAGTCCAAGGCTGAGTTGCTGAGAGGCTCTGTAGGCGGCGCTTGCTTAGGTTCAGGAGGCGGCGTTTCCTCTTGTGTCGAAGCCGTTGTCGGTAAGTTCGCTGCTTCAGACGTTAATTTCAAGTTTGATGTCGAAGGAGGGGCTCCATCCGCTGCATCACTACTTATACCAGGACACTCGAATTGATGCTGCTGGTCATGAGCTGGAGGCAGCTTGTGTGAAGCTTGACTGGAGGTTTCAGTGTGAACGTTGAGTGATCGACCGGGCTCGCTCTCGTTCGCAGCCTTCTTGGCCAGACGCAATTTGGCCAGGGTACTCTTGACAGCGGCCCTTGCCTTTTTGAAGCTTTTGAAGCCCTTCATCATGGATTGCCAGTTGACAGCACGTTCTTGTATACCTAACAATGATGGATAGGGTTAAATTAAGCAATCCTCAAAAGAGAAATTGGCATTATACCAAGGCGGGCATGAAATAGAGTGCAGAGAGATGAGGAGGTGTCGGCCTTTTCGGCAGAAATATCCGAAATCGCTGTTCGGTAGGGTGCCGGTATGCTGTGTAACGCGACCGATTGAAATCCTTTCTCCGGGGTATCCGAGGAAGCCATGCGCAGTGAGTCGAAATCCGCCCTCCTTGAGAGAAGAGGTCCTTGTGATCTATCCTTTATGGACTAGGAAGCACTCGCTTGCATTATGGCCTGACCATCTATTTGCCTTGTACACATGAGACGCCGTTCTCTACCTTCTAGAAAGTGACTGCCATGAGCAATATCCGGCCAAGTGCCTATAATTGAATAGAACAATTTTTCGTGTTCTACTTTGCCCTGTTTTAGAATCCGTGATTTGAACCTCGTGATTCGACTCTTCTCTGTGATTTAATAGCATTTGTGTTCACAAAGTGCCCAGGAGGGAGCAAGGGCTACTCTTCATTTTCTTGGTCCCGCCAAGCAAGGGAAGGCTATCAAGACACCAGTCTCCAGAAAACAGCGAAATCGAAGTCCTCAAGATGCGTCCAAAAACCACGGATCCCCAAACGCCGTCGATCGAAGTGAATTGCAACGACGTAGCTACAACTGCCTTTCACGTTCAGAGGCGTGCGCGTGGCGGTGGTTTCGCCGTAGACTGGGTATGGGTGCCGGTTTGCATACGTTATGGTTGGAGGCTAAAGACCGACGTGTGGCCGTGCTTGGTCTTGACGAGCGGTGGCTTCCATTAGAGACAAAAATAAAGATTCCAAATATTCAACTGCATGCTTATTCATAAGAATCTAGTAGTATTTATTAATAAAGTAAGGTCAACTCGAGTGCATTCCACAAACAGGATTTTACCAGACCGCATGACTAATCGGTGATAATCGTGCCCGCGCTAAGATGAAACCTTTTCTTAACCTCACCTCTCTCAAGCTTCACCTCAACATATCGAAAACCGCAGTATCCAAACTCTTCCACATATACATACATTCCCAAACATTCACGTGCGAACAAGTTGTCACATTTATTAGGAATCAGGATGGTTTCGAAAGGAGGTTTTATTATCGACTCATCCTCTCAACCCCACTCCTCCAAGACCAAAGTTCATGACTCTCTGCCACTCTTGGTGGATCGGACGTTGAAGCCGCACACATTGTATGTGTAAGCCTCGAGCGGGCTGTACTCTGGGTACCGTAACGTGGGAGTTATGCACGTAGAGTGCTGGGATTCATAGATCCGTGCGATGATACGCTGTAGGTCAAGCCCAGATCACGAAAAGTGTCGAGACGCTAATTGCATTCGAAGGGGCTAGCACCAGTTTGCGAAGCCGTCTCCCCCATTGCCAACCCCCCCGCCGCCTCTCCAGCGGCCTCCCCAGTCGCCCCCCATGCCGCCCCCCATGCCGCCGCCGTGGTGTTGCTTGCCAGAGTCGCCACCACGGGCTATCTGTTCACGGAGTCGCCGATTGCTCTCGTGCTCATTTCTAAGTTGAGTCTTGAGCTTCTCAGGTGCGGCCCTGGCCTCGTCAAGTTGACGCTGCATCTCCTCCTTCTCTTCTCTCATATCTTTGATGATGTCCCTGGCCAAGTCCAGACGGCGCTCCAGTGTCTGCATCTTCTCGGTATCGAGAGCGGGCGGAGCAGTCGGATTGGCCTGTCGACGTTGAAAGTGTGACTTGTACTCGGCCAGTTCCGCACAAATTTGGAGAATCTGATCATTTAGATCATTTCGTTCATCGATGAGTTCGTTGTTCTTCTCGTGTGCCCCGTACAGCTGGTCGCTGAGCTCTTTGCCTGACCTTTGTTCCGATTGGAATCGCTGTTCGGCATTGGACTTCTCTTTCTCGAGCTCCTTGTTCTGTTTCTCGAGATCCTTCTCCCTCTTCGCACCAGAGGCAAGCTCGTTCTTGATTTGCGTGAGTTTGGCTTCTCTTGCTTCAAACTGCCCCTCGTAAACACTCTTGAGCTCTTGCTCCTTCTTCTTCATCGCCTCGCCGTGCCTCGATTTGATCCCCCTCAATTCCTTTGCCTGCTGTATCAACTTCTCTCGAAGCTCGTGCACCTCCGCAGTCAAGTCGTAGTCGACGGCCATCGTCCCCTGGTCGGCCGTTTCGATAGGTGGGGCCTCGGTGGCGGCAGTGACCAAGGCCTGCAACTCTTCCAGGGTCTTCACCTCCTCCAGTGTCTTCATCTCTGCCATAGCTCGTTCCTCGGACCGCGCAAGGATCGATTCCACAGTGTCCTCCTCGTATTCAGGCGCGGCCGAAGTGGTCGTAGCTTGCACCACTGCACCTGCAGCGGAATTCCCAGCGCTGACTGCTGTCTCCGACTGTGTGGGCGTGGCGTGCTGGTAACTTTCGCCTGCGCTTCTTGCTGTACGCTTCGAACCAGTCTGTACAGGAGCAGAGATCCGAGTAGACCGCTTCGTTGCTGTGTGAGGACTGGCCTCTTTCTCGGGAGGTGCATCTTTCTTCTTCTTTGGTTCCAGCTCTGCAGAAGGTCGTCTAACTGGCTGCGAATCTCCGAGAGTGGCGCGATGGGCGACACGCTCAGAGGAGACCTCCGAGGATAAAATCCCGTAGGGGTTGGACGGGAATGGATTGTACGGCTTCATCGCCCGCCCGCCATCCGGCTCGTCATCGACAGCATCTTCTCTCGAGTCTGTCATCTCATCGTTCGATCCGATGGCGTCGAGAATGCGCTCGGTTTCGGTATGTGCGGTTGCTGAAGCAGTGGCGGGCACTGCAGCGCTCATCGATGGAGTCGAGGCCGACTCCTCTTCGGCGGTCTTACTCTTCTTCTTCTTCTTCTTCTTCTTCTTCTTCTTCTTCTTCTTCTTCTTCTTCTTCTTCTTCTTCTTCTTCTTCTTCTTCTTCTTCTTATTGCTCTGATTCAGCATTTTTGTGAATGATGAATCCATTGATGTTATCGTGCCGAGCAAAGGCGCCCTCGATTTTGGTTTTGTTCACTCGGCCAGCAAGGCTCTCATCTCAGCCTTGCGCTCTATTGACTTTGTGCTCGCCTAATGCCACACTAGCGCCACAGGAATTTTGCATCATAATCGCGCTCTCGATCTGTTTGTTTCCTTCCTTCTACATCATCAAACAAACGTTGTCGTTGTCACCATGGCAGGCAACGAGAGCTATTACGTGCACGACCTTGAATGGTTCGTGGACAAATCTCGAAATACCGATATATCGACCGAACATATCCGAAATACTCGCGATGAAAATCCTCATCAAGCTCGTGAAGGCGTACCTGTTTTCATCCGACTGGCCCATGGCTTCGAAATTCGAGGCTTGGATTGAGTGGACCGCCGATGTCGAGCTCTGCCAGCTCCTCTGTAAGTATCGAGTGCCCCATCCCTTCTACCGGGCGCTGACTGACCGCCCGCAGTCAAGGGTCTCTTTAAATTCCCACACGCCGAGCCAGTGGAGGGGCGTCTGTATCCGAACACTGAACGCCAGAGAGGCCGAATCCCACTCGGAGTACCTCCCTCGAATGCCGGTGGGCAAGGAACCCCCTCGGGCCCCGCAAGTACACGTTCCAGTCACACTGTGCAGCCCCCGCCCCGTGGTAAGAAGTCGTTCGCCGAAGCCACCCGTCGACCCGCTGGCGCCAAGCCCAACCAAGTGAATAGGGGTCAGGGAACCGGCTCGATCGTTGGCCCGATGGCAGGCGTGAGTACCGGTGGATCGAACAACCCTAGTCAGCGCAGACCTACCGGTCAAAGTGCTTCCACGTCCTCTAGACCCAGACATCCCAAATATGTTCCCTTCGATTACACCGCCGAGACTCCTCGACAACCCAGACCCAACCATCATCCGATTGTTGATGAATCAGGCGAATTCATGTATTCCGTCGACCTACATGGGGCTCTTTGGAAGTTTGTCATCCTCGACAAGAAGCGCACAGCCCTTGATACCATCGGAAAGTACTTTCGTGTCGTCCTCGAGGTCCAAAAGCACGAAAACGGTATCACTTTGTGGGCGCAGCCTCCACTCGAGGACGAGGGCCGGTTCGCACAGTTCCAGCATCGTCCACGCCCGCGCGTCGACCGAGAACTTTCGGACCCTGTTAAGCATAACCTCGAACTTGCGTATGACTTTTTGACCCATTACATGCAAGAAACACAAATCTACACCCGGACCAATAGGAAAGGCCCAAACATCCTTGATTTCTTCGAATACTTCCTTGACCCAGCATTCAAGCCGCTTAGAGCCCGGCTGGAACCAGAAGAGTTCGGCGAGGATGACGAAGACGAGGAGGAGAAGGAGCGGGAGGCCAGCCAGACTCCACCAGCCTCCACCGCCGCCTCAAAGTCCGCACGAGGCCCAGCCCCTGCACAAGGACCACCACAGTCGAGTGTAGCTCAACCGCCGCGACGAGGCAATGAAGCAACCAAGCCGGCTTCTAGCGCGGCTGGACGCCCAGCAACTCCAGCCCAGCGAGCTACTTCGACCGCTCCGACCGATAGCGCGCAGAGCACAGCCAGCGAGCCAAAACCTTTCACTAGCAGACAAGTCAAGACAGATGAAGACCCATGGCCGTACAAGGTCAATGCCAAGGGCGAACCTATCCTGGCCACTCGAGACGACATGAAAGACCTCTTGCCTGGTGCTTCCCCGCAAGAGCTCCATGTCGCCACCGTGAAACACAACGATAAGATCCTCAGACAGCATATTGTGAGTTCCCCCAGCACGGTCCATCATATCGCGGACAAAGAGGGTCAACAGGATTGGGACAGGGAGCATGTGGAACGACAGGAATACGAGTTCAAGGCTAACGGTATCTGATTGGCACAGGAAGAGGAAAAGACGCGCTGGGTCTACGACCGTGCCACCGGAAAGCAAGTTCTCTGGGGTACGTGCGTCGAGGCTATCAAAGCTCGCGCGAAGGCCGAGGCCAAGAAGGAGCTGGTCCAGACTCCTGGATTCGTTCAACAGGTCAAGCGGGATCTATGGTCAGAATGGTGCGAGTCTTACGGGATGGACCCCAGGGATGGCCCGCCCAAGAAGCGTGCTCGTGCTCGTGCTCCGGCCCGCGCCGAAGACTCGGACTCCATAACCACGACACCAACACCAGTTGGCGAGGGTCCCAAGCCTGGAAACCAATCCCCGGTCACTGCCGCCGCGGTTTCAGAAGGAGTTGCGTTTGCTGCTTACCCTTCATCTCGGAAGAGCCCTCCATAATTTCTCCCAGATCACGAATCTCGTCCTCTTTCTTGAGACTACATCCTTGTGATAGACATCCTTTGTGATAATTCCACAGCTTGTCTGTGATGACTTCAAGCCGTCGAGCTTTATCCTCACGTAGGGAGACTTGTTCTCATTAGTTCCTTTATGGAGATGCGTCATGTACGCGAGTGATATGCTCAAGTCTTTACAGCCCTTGGCATGACCTTTAGACTTTGAGTCTTAGAATAGCGAATGCACTTTATTGCCTTGAGCAAATGTCCTCTATGGATATCGAGTCTTTGTACATAGAAAAATAAAATGGTTTTCATGCCTATATTTGAAACAAGTACAAAAACGTGAAGTAAAAATTCGTAATTTAAATAAACTTTTAATTTAAATAAAATTGCGCTGTCCGAATATTCTTAAATTTTGCCTCGATATTAGCCCCTTTCTCATATAGCATCACTACTATCTCTTCATGGCTGTCATAGCTTGCCCTGTGCAGCGCCGTCCGTCCATCATGATCCCTCGCCTCGACGTTAGCCCCTTTCTCTAGCAACAGCCGCAACATCGCCACGTGCCCCCCATAGTATCCATCAGTAACCACTCTCCCAGCCGCCTTATGCATCGATGTTTGTTCATTATAACCCCTAGCCTCGACGTCTGCCCCATTTTCTAGCAGCAGCCGTACTACCGCGTCCTGCCCTCTCCGGGCTGCTAAGACTAGTGCCGGCTCCCCCCACTCCCCATCTTTCGTCTCGAGCAGCACCTTCTTGTCCAGTAGCAGTTGTACCACCTCCCGGTGCCCATCGTAGGCCTCCTGCTGCAGAATTGTCCATCCGTTTCCAGTCTTTATATCGTCCGCCACCTTTTCTACCAGCAAGTGTACTATTGCCTTGCGTTCCCTGCCGCGCATTCTTCACCGAGTGCAACATCGACGTTTGTCTCCAGTAATAACCGGTCCTCATTCTCATCCCCTCTTTTTACGGCATTATACAGTTTTGCCGTTGCTACCAAGTTCTTTGAGCTTCTCTCTATATCTTTGCATTCTAGCAAATGTGCCATTGCTTCATATCCGTTCTATTGGAAAATGATTAATATATTGATGGAAAATTGATATAGGAGGTTGACAGTCTGTAGAATGACTAGATACAAGAGTGAAGTCTAAAAACAGAGGAGAAAGTGTCCAAAGTAAGGATCTTTATCCCCATTACCTATCGGCAATATCGATAATGCCTAGCCTGCTTTCTCCAATACATTATAAATCAGCTAATAAATCACAAGTAATCAAAATAACAATATATTAGTGAGCTTGGTAAGATCTGCGAGTGAACGCATAACAAATGAGAGTGGAGAATCCTAAATTAGTGGTTGAACCTGGTGCTGGAAGGACTGGTAAGCTAGCTAAGGTAGTGTACCAATTCAACAGATAGCTTCAAGGGCATACGCGGTAGTTGGGCGGAACGTCAGAGAAGACTATGCCAGTGCCTTGTATTTTGCGTGTGGCTCCAGGATGCACGACGGAGGCTACGTGGTTCCAATCAACGTCACTTTTAACCAACACCTACCACACTTCAATCCGCCATCGATTCTGCCTCGTTTTCAGGTAGCCTTGTAAAATGGAACAACCACCCGCCTCCCCAATTATTTTATTGTCCTGCGGCTTTCCATTTCAATTAACCTTTTAACTCTTCGCCTCGTTCTCATTTTATGACATGTGCACTTCGCACACCCACTACGCCGAATTTCAACCTCGACAAAACAATTGGTACGCAAGGCCTCCTGCAACTCTTCCGACCTGAAACTCCAAAGCACATATGTCATTTTAATATCCCTCCCTATACTACTCTTGAAATTGTCTATAGCTTGGGTCATTTTTGAAGCGAGCATGCGATCGCCATGGCTGAACTAGTCGCAGCCCTGGGTGTTTTGTCTAGTGTTGCCACTGTTGCCGACATTAGCTGTAATGCTATAGGACAGTGTCTAAACGCCATTAGGCACTGGAAGACAAGGCATAAGTTTTGGGACAATGTTATGAACAGATTTGCAGAGTATCTCCGGGTATGCATCTTACACCTTTAGAAACAATTTACCTTTTGCTAATAAGATTTAGTTTCTTGATCGTTTGACGAAAGCTGCCAGAGAGGCCAAAACCCGAACTAAAGACAAGTTTAATTGTCACGGAACCGATTGGGAGTCCATCGTTGATCAATGCCGTCAATTTTGTCTCACTCTTAAGCAGTTCCACAAAACCTGGAAAGCTCGAGAAGAGGCAAAACGGAAGAAGCTAGATCTTATAGCGAGTGGAATATCTTTCTACTACCAATTCACCCTCAGGCCACAAGCTCAAGCGCTGCTTAACGAATTAGAGAAAGCGAAGGTCCACATTTTGCTATATCAACAGTTGATATCTATCGAGCTGCAACTTCAAGGACAAGACGATATTGAATTCGTCAAATCTAGGTTACAATTCATGCATCAGTCAAGCCGACCGAACGACAGTGCGTCGGGAAAGAACCAGTCGAATCCCGATGTTTGCCCCAGCACCCAGGAGCAGAACGATCACGATAAATTTCAAGTTGCAGTTTCTAGTTTCTTAGCAGCCGTCTCGAACTCGAGAATAGTGAAAGGCAAATTTCACAGAAGATCCGAGCGGATACCGATTAAGACAAATCCTGAAACTACAAAAGAACAGAAGGGGTTTTAGTTGAACCATAGTATCGCTTAAGTTGAACCATATTATCAAACTTTGCATATGCTCGTTTATTTAGCTGATCCATAGTATCGCTTAAAGAAGCGAGACAGCTAGCCGAGCAAATAAATAGGTTTTATAACAATTATATTTTAGGCATATACTCTCCTTATATTCTGCGTATACTCCCCTTATGCTCTGCATATATATATAGGCAATAAGTTATATGAGCTAGGAAGGTTCGGGTTAGTCCCGAGCTTGCGAGGGGGCTTAGAGTCAGGGGTTAGGGTCTGGGTTAGTCCGGGGGGTCAGGGGGCGGTGAGAGCTCCCAGTATTGGGATATATTAAAGTATAAAGGCTCTACGGGTTAGGTTCAGTATATGCTAGGCATATAGATTCTATATGCCGAATATATATTACGGGTAGTAATAAAGTAAAGTATATACTAAGTATATGGGTTCCATATATCGAGTATATGCTTGAGTAATAGTAATAGTAAAGCAAGATATATTCTAGCTTACTTATATACTTCTTAGCAATAAGAGTAAAGCATATACTAGGTATATAGTTTTTATATGCAGAGTATATGTTTGAGTGATAGTAATAGTAAAGCAAGATATATTCTAACTTACCTATATGTTTCTTAGTAGTAAAGGTTAAGTATATGCTAGGAGTATACCTGGCGGGCCGTTGAGAGGAGGTCGGGGTTGGATAGAGGGTGTAAACGAGGGCTGGTGTCTATATATTACTAAAGATAGTGAGTATAGTACGGTTTTTGGTGAGGGAAGTTGAACCATATTATGGAAAATACAAGGGTATTCTCGCTACTGATAATATGGTTCAACTTAAGCGATATTATGGTTCAGCTACTGCCTCAGAACAGAATCCGGAGCAGGCCCAGGGTTTGGGAACCTCAGCTCAAGCCTTGGACGAAGTCATACCCCGAATTGATACAAGTGATGCAAACTCACTTTTTTCTGCATCTAGCAGCAAAGAAAGCATGACAGACGGCCTCATGGAAACCCCACCGCGTATAATTCCAGTGAGGTCTCACAAATCAGTCTCGTGCGAATCCGGAGATGCCGGAGAGATTTCTAAAATCATGCATGCAAGCGATTTGACGTCTCTTGTAGACGAGGGTCGCGACTTAGTTCAAATTATTAACACCACCATCGGACGAACTAGTACAGAGGATTCAGAGCAGGTGGACTTTACTCTTGATTCGACCGATACTCAAGGACCACAGAACAAGACACCGTGCAACACTGCCCCTCGCGATCTCATCAATATATCATCGTCTGATGGTGATCCAGATGCCTTGAGGCTAATGGTAAACGTACAAAACTCAGAGACAATTCTTGGTAGTGCTATTCGAGAGTCAAGAGAAATAGCATTGTCTTTGAAAGATAATGATCGCCCCGCCAACTCGGACATCGAAAACACTTTGGTAGAGGGGTCTGAGACTAGCAAACTACAAGAAAAATCCGAATCCCAACCAACGCATACGGAATCTTCGTCAGTGACATATGTGGGCAAGCCGGTTGAACCCTTGGATTAGAGTACCTCTGAAAAGAAGCAAAATGCAGCAAATGAGCTGTACAGATCCTATTGAAATTGGTACGCTACCATAGCTAGCTTACCAGTCCTTCCAGCACCAGGTTCAACCACTCTCATTTGTCATGCGTCACTCGCCGAGCTTACCAAGCTTACTAGTATATCGTCATTTTGATTACCTTTGATTTATTAGCTGATTGATAATATATCGGAGAAAGCGGGCTCGGCATCACCGGTATCGCCGAAGGGTAATGGGAATAAATCCCTTACTTTGGACACTTTTCCTCTATTTTCCAGAACTCACTCTTCTGTATCTAGTCATTCTGCAGTCTATCAACCTTCAATATATCGATTTTCCATCAATAAATCGATTACTTTCCAATAGATCCATTACTAAAAAGCCATCGACGTCAACCCATACGGAAGATGTTCTCCAAGATACCAAAACCGACTCTATATTACAAGATAACCAAGATGAAGAAGACCATTTCTCTAGTCGTCCCGGGGATCTCCTGCAAACCTTCGAGAGAATGTTTTCTCGAAGCCATTTTCGAATGTCAAGTCACGAAGCACAATACAAGGTTGGACAGGAGTTCATCGCTGACGGGACGTGGATGACTATTGCAACGTTCAATGACACCGTGGGATTTTCTTTTCTTCCAAAAACCCGACCATTGGATCCAACTTGCTTTAATGCCAAAAGACTGCCATCGAAAAACAATACTTCTAGATTGTATTTTCCAGACGGCCAAGAATTCACCGTTACTCTCTGTAATCCAGCGAAAGGATCATAGAAGAGTAATACTAAGGTTGTTTTTCTTACCAATGGATAACGAAAATCAGTCTACCTGAAGGAAGGCACGTTGGACTTCGGCAAAGGGCCACCATTTTATTGGAGCTTCAAAAACATCGAACTTCCGCCTACTGCCTCTTGTTACGCTCTGCCGCTTCATGTTGAAATTAGGGGCCTGAGGCCCCTAATAGGCTTAGTAAGCCCTGGAACAGAGCCTTAGGGGCTGTGTACTAATGGGGCTTAAGCCATAGGCTTATTACTGAGTAGATTATGCCCTGTAAGGTTGATACAGGGCATAATAAGCCCTGTGAGGCTAAATCGGTTCAGCTGAGGTTGAATGGTTCAGTATAAGGCTCTCTGGTTTAGGGGTTTAGTGCATGTGACTTAGGGGGTTCAGGGCTATATATACGGTCTACTTACCACTGTAGAACAGCAGTCAATTCAATACGTTTTACTTGGTTTATATTGCAAGCACGTGACCCTAGCTATATTGCTTTAGCTAGTTCAACACTTCACTAGGAAATTTAGCGTCACGTGACCACGCGATGACGCATACGGCTGGCTAGTATTTAGAACACCAAAGCTCCTGTACTCAGAGCTTCCCTCCTTAGTTTAGAATCCTCGGATTAAGAGCCACTCTACCTGCTTTCCAAGCCCAGAGCCCGGTTTCGTGACACCTCTCCAATGATCCAAGTGGGACTTCATACGATTATCTATTGGGATCACCCTTCCTCCAGGCTCCTGAAATAGTCTGCACGACGACCTGAACTACGTATATGGATCATGATATTATGTGCTTTGCCAAGGGGTCCTAAGAGCCTGAACTTTGCTTTCTTTGCCTCCTCATTTATAAGCTGCCCATCTGCCTCTCCCTCATCGTACGGCTCAAGCTCATCTATATCTACTAGATCTGTAAATAAGAAGGCTTGTACGACAAGGCTAATAATATAGCCAATACACCGGATCCGCCAGTTATTAGCTGACCACTCCTTCTCGTACTTCTCCCATATATGCTTCTCAATCGTACGGCAAAGGACGTTATTTGGGGGGGCATTGTTAGCTATAATAGCTCTAAGCTTCTCCTTAACGCCGTAATCCTGAAGGACAGGGAGAAAGATCGAGAACTGGTCATCTCCGCCGTGGCTATGCACCTTCTTTAGAGCAAGAAGGGCTTTCTCCTTCTTCTGGTCGTACGAGGTAAAGTGTGAACAGATCGCTAGAAGAAGCCATCGATTTGGTGAGGTCTAAATATCAAGAGAGATATAGATATGAGAGAGCGTCGCCTGAACTGCCTTTCGTACAGTATCCTTGTGTTTTTGGAAAGCTTCCCCAACCTTATTGCGTAATCCTGTATGATACGTTATAACCTTGCCTTTACATGCTCTATTAAGAACATGGCAAAAGGTACAGAACGCTGGCCAATCACCTAAGCAGAACGAGAGGTTATATATAACAATTAGAGTAATTGGAGCTTTAGTGAGGGCGTCTTAATTAATCGATTTCTCTAGGATTGCTATATCGAACTCCGTAGTATCCCCAGTCGCTATAGCTTAGTAGTAAATCTGTTTGAGTTATTGTTATATGACCTCTTGGCCCTTACTTAAACCCTTCTCAATTGAAACCTGAGAATGCTTCCTTTGAATATACTTAGTTATAAAAAAGCATTATTAGCACCGTGAGGTTTATCGTCGATATTATAATAAAAATAATAAAGAAGCTCTCGATTCTCATACTCTAAGGGTTCGCGAGTATAAGCCCAGATAGGGGATGATTTCTTGCCCTTTTTACATATACTCGTACGTGAAGCTGCTACTGACTCTGCTATTATTGAAGGGGTATAGGAGGAGTCTTTGTCCTGAAAGAAAAAAGACATTTTAATAAAGTTCTAGCTGAGAAACTGTCGTACGAGGAGGTTAGAGATCTTTGGCGGCGTCTGCCATTCTGGCCTGCACGGTCTAGTGGCAAGATGCGTTAGCCCTGGGAGAATCTATATACATAGATTCATACAGTAGTTAAGACGGAAACGCCCGCAGAGACATTTGTTTGTCTCGTTGTGGATACTTGCCTAGCTGGTAGGACAACAGCACGGCCGATGCCAGGAAAAGGTCATTCATTGCATGTTTATCACAGGTCCGAAAATTGCAGGATCCATGACAAAGATGTGGCCGTGCGGTCGACGATGTCGACCGAAGCCCGGTTAACTCTTTATAGCTTAGCTCACTACAACGTTACTAACTCTACTAACTCTACTCTTACCTTACTAATCTCTAACTACTACTCTAATAACATCTTTAGCTATAGGTGTTTTGCAAAATACCTTGAGCATTCCTAGCAGTGAATAAGATTAGATAAGAAACACGGACGCCAGTCGTGGTTGGTTGGGCAACTCGCTTGTCGGAGCCCGGAGGCCGAGGCCCCACCCACACACGCACATAGAAGGCGCCGTTCTCAATTCCTTGTTGAGCACACCATCTCCTTCCTGCCAACATTTCTAACTTTTCGACGTCCTCCATCTATTGATTCCTCAAAATGGAAAACAAGACATGGGTAATGCTTGGTAAGGGGCCTAAGCCTTCATGAATCACTCGTCTTTAAGTAGAAACTCATCGCAAATGGCAGAGAACAACCCTAATGTAATGAACCAATTGGCCGCGAAGTTGGGTCTATCGTCCGAGCTCCAATTCTACGACGTCTATTCCCTGGATGAAGAACAACTCGCACATATCCCTCGACCTGCCCTGGCTCTGCTGGTCATCATTCCACTTACAGAAGCTTGGGATCGAAGTCGCAAGGCTGAAGACGCTGACAAAGAACCCTACACTGGCTCCGGCCTTGATGAGCCGGTAATCTGGTTCAAGCAGACCATCGGCCACGCCTGTGGATCCATCGGTCTGCTCCATAGCGTGATCAACGGTCCGGCCGTCGACTTTATCAAGCGTGATTCCGATCTCGCAGCGATACGAAGCCTCGCCATACCGCTAGATATGACCAAACGCGCCGAAATGCTGTACAACAGCGGGCCATTCGAATTTGCTCACAAGTCGGTCGAGCTGGCCGGCGACAGCGCTGCGGATCCAACGGGTGAGCGTGAGGGTGGGCATTTTGTGAGTTTTGTCAAGAGCGGTGGGAAGCTCTGGGAGCTTGAAGGGTCGAGGATGGGTCCTCTGGAGAGAGGAAGTCTTGCTGACGACGAGGACGTTCTCAGTCCGCGAGCGCTTGACATGGGCATCAAGAGGATCATCAAGTTGAACGCGGATGGAGGAGGAGGGGACCTTCTTTTTAGCTGCATTGCTTTGGCTCGCGGGTCTTAGGCTCTGACTGGGAATCGGCACACACGCATTACGGATATACTAGGCTGTATTCGGAGCATCTAATGAGATTCGAGAAGACATTATCTTGCTCCCTAGATCTACACGAGACCAGAACGGACACTCGAATCTCTCCATGTTATAGCACGAGAGAAACGGGCTTTACTAACATGGCTGCAAGATTCCCAGAGAGGAATATCGAACCTTTGCAGTTGCGCAGAATAGGTAGACGTGTTATGTAGAAGTTCTGACCGTGAACAGGTTGCTATAGTCCTCTAGCCTACGACTCTACGTGTACTGGCCCTCTACAAACATCTCAACAATCTTGTCGTGCCTTTCTGAAGAAGCAGCCTGTGAAGCAGTGCTATAGCATTTGCACCCTTATTTAGGAGCATCTCGGCGATCTTATCGTGCCCTTCTAATGAAGAAGCTCAGCATCGGATCTATAGCATCTGCTCGGCACTTTAACAGTTGCGTCATAAGCTAGAAGCATCTCTGCAATCATATCGTGTCCTTTAGAAGAAGAAGCCTAACAAGAATCGGATTAAGGGATTAAGTCTGTTCCCATTTGACTCGCTTCCCAACGTGCACCGTACACGCCGCAGTACATCCCCGCATTTCTTTAATAGGAAGGGCGCAAGTTTAGAATTCTTATTAGTAAATTAGAAGAAAATCCTCAACTGTCGCCTTAGACGTGTTTACTCCTACGGACTTCCTACCTAGAAATGTAACCCTAATCCTAACTCTTCCTGCAAGGCCAGCTTACACCCCTTCCTGTCAGCTTGCAAAGATTGCGCAGATGCACAGTGCTAGACTACGCTGCAATATAGGGAGGCGGGATGATTGCCCACACGCAGAATACATATAAATACTCGATCGCACTTTCATTGTTATTTTGGTACGGTTATCATTTCATACAAAGATAAAGCCTATCACAGCTCCCGAGGCAGTACACCGAGAGAGAGCCCACCAACATGGCAACCATCACCGCTCCACTTCCGGGGCAGCCGGACATCAGCTATACGCCGGACATGGCCAAGTATCTGGCCCGAATCAATCGGCGGCACGAGTTAGAAAAGCTAGAAACATGTCTTCCAGAAGGGTTTCCTACTCAACTCGAATCGAAGCTTGTGTGGGAGGGGCAAAGCCTCGAGGAAAGGTATAACTGGAACTACGAACTCACCGGCTCCGATGTCGAAGAGATAGAGGCCGCGCTCCACCACTCCAGGCCTCTCGGGACAGTCAGATTTCAAAGGATGCCTGTCCCGTAATATCAATACTAATTAAGGCAGTGAAGGGAGGCGTAAGCTTACCCCGCACACTATAACCCTCTCCACTTAGCTATCGCTTAATTAAGTATAGAATTCCGTAATATTATCAAAGCATACAAGCCTTATATAGCCTAACTTTATAAGCTCCTATTCTAGAAATATATCTGCATTTGGCAGTAAAAGCAAGCTAGTAATATTAAGGGAATTATTATAATTATAAAGTTATTTATTTTTATTTATATATTATTAATTAGCTAGACTATTAAAAATATAATTATATATTAATTCTCTATAATCTTTTTTTCTTTAAGTAATTCTTTATTACTATTACTAATATAATTAATACCGGCCTTTATTATTATAAGCTTAATACTATAATTAAGGCTATTTCCAAAATCTATTAACTTGCTTCTAAAGCTAATACTATTATTACTAACTCAAATTCCGCCTTTATATATCTTTAGAACTTTGCCTTTATTTAAAAATATACTTTTATTATTAAATTATTAAATAATCTTCGAGTTTAATTTCTTTATATTTTATTACTTTTAAAAAACTCGAAATACTAGAAATTTTATAAAAAATAAATATTAATATTTTTATATAAATATATATTAGTAAAGTTATAAAATATAAGATATAGAATAATATATAAATAATTAAGATAAATAAGCTTTGAAATAATACTTATAAATATAATTAATTCCAAGAATTAATTCTAATAAAAGATTAATTAATATTTCTTTCTAAAGCTAGAAGTATTTCTTTATATATTTCTTAGTATATATTATAATTCCCAGATATTTAATATTTGAAATATCTAGCTAAATATTAGATATTTCCTAGATATATATAATATAGTCGCTTTATTAAAGAAATATATTTGAAATATACTAGAAATATTTAGAAAACTAAGTCTTTTTAGAACTAGTATATTATAAGATATATATATTTCCTTATAGCCTCTTATATTCTAGTTTTCTTTTCCTTAGCTTTAAATTATCTTTATAAGAAACTTTCTATTTTATTTTCTAAGCCCTAAATATTATATTTATAATAATATTTAAAGTTTACTTTCTTTAATCTTATAGAGAATTTTAAATAAACTAATTTAGAATTATTAGAAATATAAGTATTATTAAGATAATAGAACCTTAGAAATATAAATATTAGATTTTAGAATAATAAAAGTAAAAAGCTTTAGAATTCTTAAAGAAATTAAATATTTATATTTTTATAAATATATACTAGTAATATATTAGAAACTTTTTTAAAAACCCGAAAATTAAAAAACTTAAATAAAAGTTATTTTTTAACTAAGTTCTAGAATAATAAGTATTTATAAGCTAGTAATCTAATTATTATTTTTAAGCTTTATTTTATAACTTTATAGGTCCTATAAATATACTAGTAATAAAACTATTAGAAAAGATATAATAGAGAAAAAATATAATAAATTAATTTCCTAGAATATTATATAACTTAAAATAATATTTATTTCTTCTAAGGCTTCTATTAGTTTAGATTATTTCATTAGTAGCCTTTCCTAAACCGAACATTTTATTAATATTTCTAGAAGTTTTTTTTAAATAAAGTTATAAAAAAAGAAATTTCTTTTTTATTAAAAAGCTTCTATATACTAATTAGCTTATTATTATTAAAGAATTATATAAATGAACTAAAGAAGCTAATTATTTGCTTTTAGATATTAATTTAATTATTATTAGCTATTAGAAGAATTTTAAAAAGGCTATTTTATATAAGACAAATTATAAAAATATTAAAGGACTTTTTAAAAAATATTAAGTTTTATAATACTAAACTCGTAAATAATATTAAATATTATATAATTATAATAAATTAGCTTATAATAGCTCTAGCTATTTCTATTCTATTTACTTTTATTATTTCTATAGTTTTAGCTATTCTAAATTTCTTTTAAAAGAATTCCGAATTATCTTTTATTTATTTCTATCTAGAATTCCCTATATTTTATATTTTCTTTAGAAATATTAGAGTTATTAAGTTCTCAGATCTAATTCTTTTTATTAAAGATTATACTATTTTAAATAACTAGCTAGTTTAAATTAAGAATAAATTATAAAAAAATATTAATTTATATTTCTTAGAAAATTTTAGAATTATTTATATTTCTAGTAAATTTATAAATAATACTTTCGCCCTAACTAATTTTTATATAAATAAAAATAGTTCGAATTAATATTATTAGCTCTTAGAACTATATTTTTATTTAAAAGAATTATATTCTAATTCTAATAAAATATAAAATATTTACTATAATTTTAGTAAACTTTAAATATATTCTAGTTAAATATTTCAGGAATTCTATATTCTTTTTTTATAACTATTTATAAAAAGTAATATTAGTTTTTAAGATATTAAATATAAATTAAATAAAAAGCTTTTACTAAAGTTCTAGGAATTAGTATATATATATTATAATAATTCTTTTATTAATATTACTTACTTTATTTAGTATTATATTATTAATAATTAGTAAATTAAGGCTATATATAAAAAAACTAAGAAATATAAGAAAATAGAAACTATTTTAGTTAAGTTTATTTCTGGTATTATATTTTTTTATATTTCTAAAAAAGAACTCAAAGAGCCTATATTAACTACTTTTATTAAATATATATCTTATAAATATAAATAATATTTTATAAAAACTAAATTTTTTTTAATTATAATAAGTTTAGCTATTATATTTATTACTATCTAGTTAAATATAATAAGAAAACTAAAATAGCTTTTTCTAAAATTAAGCTAGACTTAGTTTCTATTTTATTAAAGTATTTAGTTCTTATTTTAATAAAGCATTTAAAGAATTCGAGTTTTAATTCTAATATAAAATTAGAAAACGAGTATTTCTAAAGAAAGTCTTTATTTTAGAGGCTTATAATATAAATTTAATAGAGATTAACTTAATTTATTTAATAGAAGAAAATGTTTTTATAATATTTTATATTATTAATATAAATAAATTAGAAATTAAGTTTTTTTCTTTTATTAATATAAAGCTTATTTAGTTTATAAAATAATTTCTAGAAATAGAACTATAACTTCTTTTCTTATTTTATACTATATATAGTTTTAATAAAAAGCTAGCTAAGTTTACTAAGAAATATATAGAAGTTTTATTTCTAATTAATAAATAAAATATTAATATACTTATAATTATTCTAAACTTTAGAAATTATAATATTATTTTTAGTAAAAAATAAATTATATATATTAATATTCTAGTTAATTATAAAAGATATAGGCTTATATAGCCAAAAAAAAAATAAGCCTAAATCTATATAATTCAATTATATTATTAGTATTTCTTAAAATAACTAAAGAAATAACCTAATAAGAAATATTAAAAAAATACTAATTAATAAAATTCTATTATAAGCTATTTTTAGAAATTTTCTATTTTTTAAATTATTTTTATTTTTTTAAACTAATTAGAGAAAATTATATAAAACTATAAAAAAGAAACTTTTATAATCTAATTAAAATATAATACCTAAATAAAAGCTAAAAAAGCAAAAAAAGGTTTTTAATAAAAAGTAAATATTAAATTTAGCTATATTTATTTCTATAGTATTTAATTATATAACTAAAAGAAAAAATGTTATTATTAGTTAAATCTTTATTTATAAGATTAATAAAGAACTTAAAGCTTAGGAAAAAAAAGCTATTTCTGGCCTAGAGAATTAATAATTAGAAGAAATAGAGCTTTAGTAATTTTAGAAAATATTATTTTCGGAATTTAAGAAATATACTTTTATTTTTTCTAAAAAAAATCTAAATTTTTTTTTATAGATTATATAATTATAAGATTTAGATTAAAGATCTAAAGAGAATTAAAAGTATTAAATATTAATTTCTCTAGTAATAATTTACTTAAAAGCTTTTAGAAATTAAATATTTTTTAGAGAATAATCTAGCTAAAGGCTTTATTAAAACGAGTTGAGCTTTTTTTACTTTACTAATTCTTTTTATAAAAAAAGTAAATAAAGATTTATAC